CATCCTCCCTGCCTCTCCCCTTCAGGTTTGTCCCCAGGGCCACTGACTGTCCCAGCACAGGGCTGAGGTGGGTGCACGGCGCTTCTGAAGACCCACCCCCCACACTAACGTCCCTGTCTCTCCCTCCAGGCCTGGACCCCAACTCCCAGAGCAGCTCCCAGGAGTTCCTGGTGCCCAATGACGTACGTGTGGGTCCCGGGGATGGCAAGGGAGACAACAGCTTGTCCCCACCTCTGTGTCCCACCCCCCAGCCACTTTGCAAGGGCCAGCATCCACACAGCTGGAGGCTCTACCTCAGCCCCCAGAGCTCAGGAGCAGGAGGGGCTGCTGGGGCGGAAACAGCTGGAAGAAAAGGGAAACTGAGGCATGGGAGGGAGAAAGGGCTTGGCCAATGCCAAGGAAGAGCCTTGGGATGTGGCAGCCCAGCAATGCCAGCTGGGGCTGGGGGCTTGAGTGAGACCAAAAAGCAGGGTCTGCCCAAGGAAAGCAGCACCCTGCCCTCCTGGTGCCTGCCTCAGTTTCCCCACTCCTCCCAGGCATAGGGGGTGGCTGGGTGAGCCCTCTGGGAGCTCCCTGCTCGGTGTGGCTCCTCCAGTGGCTCCCAGCTCACCCCAGTCCCTGCCCCTCCAGCTCATCGGCTGCATCATCGGCCGGCACGGCAGCAAGATCAGCGAGATCCGGCAGATGTCAGGTGCCCACATCAAGATCGGGAACCAGACTGAGGGCTCCAGTGAGCGGCACGTGACCATCACGGGGTCCCCTGTCAGCATCACCCTGGCTCAGTACCTCATCACAGCCTGGTAGGTGCTAGCCTAGCGGGGACACGCTGCTGCGAGCGAGGGGTGGCACCTCCCCAGCACCCCAAGGCAGCTTGTGGGGGACACCACCCCCAGCATGCTCAGGAAGGATGAGCAGGGTGGTGCTTTGTGGTCCTGAGATGGTGGGTGCTTTTTTGCTGTTTTGAGCCCCAGCCTTTCAGCCCAGCGGGATGCCCAGGATGTCCCACGGAGACCTGTGCCTCAAGGGATGAGGGACATGGTCCCTGCACCCTGAGACGGGCAGGTTGGGGCAGGTGACCTGCTCTGTCACCGTGGCACTCACCACTCCACCCTTCTTGCTTGCTTCCCCAGCTTAGAGACGGCCAAATCTACCTCCCAGGTGCCACCAGGCCCTGGCTCCATGGACCTCGGCGTGGGCTTCTCCCAGCCCCTCACCCCGGGCTCCGGTGCGGCGCTACCTGCTGTCGGCCCGGCCCCCCCCGGCCTGCTGGGCACCCCCTACACCATCTCCC